GTGCCTTTAAGAAAGGGGGGAGGGTCCCCAAAAGGCCCACCGTCGCTATGGGCCTGCCTGGGTTACAGGTCCAGACTCCAGGCAGTCTTAAGATGACACCCCCCAAAAGGCAGATGGGTTTGGTTTTGAAGAGCAGGCCCCCCCGATTCCTTCAGTCTCCCCCCGTGCTCCAAATAAACCATCCTTTCGATATGTGAGGCACATACAGAACTATAACTCAGTCAGAATTAACCCAGCCCTGCTTGGAAAATATCAAAGAGAACGTTTTAGGCAGATTTTGAAACAGAACATTTTAGAACAGAGTCTGTTGGGACTCTGAGGAGGCCGGGGCTGAACGAACTATTTTCTGCTGGCACCAGAGGAAACAGTGATTCAACCAGGGGTCATTTCCTGCGGGAGCGCACAGGAGCAGATCTCCGGCAGTAAGGAGCCCAGGGGGTGGGCACAGGCAACAAGCCCCGCCCCCTGCTCCCAGCAGCCCTCAGTTGGGCCATGAGGAGCAAGAAGCAGCCAGGTAAGTTGCAGAGCACACACCCCCGGCCCGCCTTCAGGTACAAGCTCTCCCTCCTCTGTGAGGGCAGATCTGTGGGTTCCCCCCCCCAATAGCTAGCAATCCAAAACAGTCCAGTGGAGCCTTTAAGACCAAGTTTTATTCAGGTACAAGCTCTCCCTCCTCTGTGAGGGCAGATCTGTGCGTTCCCCCCCCCAAAATAGCTAGCAATCCAAAACAGTCCAGTGGAGCCTTTAAGACCAAGTTGTATTCAGGTACAAGCTCTCCCTCCTCTGTGAGGGCAGATCTGCACGTTCCCCAACCCCAATAGCTAGTAATCCAAAACAGTCCAGTGGAGCCTGAGCGGTGGGTGTTGCCTTCTGACACACTTCCGGTGATGTCAGGGGCAGTGTTCCCTGTAAGCTGAGTTAGTGTGAGCTAGCTCACAGTTTTTTAGCCTCCGGCTCACACATTCTTGTCTTAGCTCACGAGGTAGAATTTTTGCTCACAAGACTCCACAGCTTAGAGGGAGCATCGGCCAGGAGGTGTGGCATATGCAAATGAGTTATGTTAATAAGTTATGCTAATGAGCTCCTGCACCTCTTTTTCTACTAAATGACCCCTGGATTCAACGGCAGGACCCCAGAAGGCACTTGCCCCTTGGTTTTCCTGCACATTGTTAAAAAAGGGTCAAAGTTGGAACGCTTTGCTACACTTCCTCAAACCAGTTCTTTCCTCTGCTACGGACCGGCCGGTACACAGACCCGTGTTCTGCCAGCGTGCCAGAGAGTGTGGGAGGAAATGTGTGCGCATAGAACAACCTTTGCTGCGTCTGGCCAGCATCCATAGGGTGGCACTGAAGCGCCTTTCACAAGTGACACGGAGGATGCATTTCGGACTCTTTCTTCTCTGTCCCAGGCGAGAAGGGGAGGCTAGCCTCAAGAATCGCTTGCACCGCTAAAGGGGCCAGGCCTCCTGGACTGACCCCGATTGGAGCGTCTCTCTGGAAAGACGCTAAATCTGTGGGCAGGCCGCTTGGCTGGAAAGGCAGTGCCCGTTGCTTCAGATGGGGTTGCCAACTTGGCTTTGGAAGATCCTGGAGGTTTTGGGTCAGTGTCTGGGGAAGTGCAGAGTTTGGGGACGGTAGAGGACTCGGCCAAGGATTACGTAGCTCTAGGGCTTCAGTTTCACCTAGATTCTGTGGTATACCATAGAGTCTCGCCTCTAACTGGAGAGCCAGTTTGGTGTAGAGGTTAAGAGCGCGGACTCTGATCTGGGAGAACCGGGTTTGATTCCCCATTCTTCCCCCACATGCTAGTGTGACCTTGGGTCAGTCACAAGTTCTCTCAGAGCTGTCCTCTCAAGGGCAGTCCTCGAGAGAGCTCTCTCAGCCCCACCGAACTCATTGGGTGTCTGTTGTGGGGAGGGGAAGGGAAAGGAGATGGCAAGCCACTCTGAGACTCCCTTGGGTAGTGAAGGGCGGGGTATAAATCCAATCTGCTCTTTTCTTCTTCTCTTCTGGGAGACCCGGGTTTGATTCCCCACTCCTCCACATGCAGCCACTGGTGTGACTTTGGGTCAGTCACAAGTTCTCTCAGAGCTGTTTTCTCTCAAGTTCTCTGGAGAGCCCTCTCAGCCCCACCCACCTCACAGGGTGTCTGTTGTGGGGAGGGGAAGGGAAAGGAGTTTGTCAGCCATTCTGAGACTCCAAGTGAAGGGCGGGGTATAAATCCAATCTCCTCCTCCTCCTGCTCCTGTTCTTCTTCTGCTGCTGCTGCCACCATTTCTTCCTCCGGGGAAACTAAACTCCGTAATCTGGAGATCAGTGATAATTCCAGGAACGCTGTTAGGGCTGTCAGCTCCAGGAAAGAAAATACCTGGAGACTTTGGGGGGTGGAGCCAGGAGAGGGCGGGGTTTGGGGAGGGGAGGGGCCGCGGCGGGGCACAGTGCCAGAGAGCCCACCCTCCGAAGCAGCCGTGTTCCCTCCAGGAGAACTGATCTTGGTCATCCGGAGACCAGCGGTAATCGCTGGAGATCTCCAGGTGCCACCTGGAGGGTGGCAAGCCTGCTTCGGGCCCCACTTGGATGTCAGCAGCTCCAGCTGCAGAGCCTCTGCTTGCCGTGGAGGGCCTTCTCCCTGGGCAGAGACACCCTCTGTCTGTGCCTATCTATCGGGATCATCAGGGAGTCTTTGCCGGCCCTCGGGCTTCACTCCCTGCCCCGCGGGGTCTGAGTCAGGTTCCCTGCCCCTGATCTGCCCTTTTGCCTCCCCGGGGGGCAGCCCCAGGGCTCTCGGGTGCCAGAGGAAGGAAATGCAAATGACAAACACGGATGCATGACTAAAAATGGGGCACTCCTGCCAGGAAAGCTCCCTGCCCCGAGCCCCATAGGAACAAAATCACCCACTGCCCGAATTCCACAGCCTCTGCAAATGAGGGGTTCTCCCGTCCTGAAGGGTCTGCCCTTTGAGGAAGCCCACCCGACCCTTTCACAGCTCGCAAGAACCGAGCAGGGCTTCGAGAAGGCCCCAGATCTGCCGGAGAAGCCAGTGCGGAGTTGCCTGAAATTATAGATTTCCCCCTTGTTTTTACTCACTTGTATTTATTAGCTTCTATGACCAAAGGTCTTAAGCTCAATTATAAAAGATAAATATACAACATTAGCCTCGATTTACCCCTTATTAAGGTAAAGGGTAAAGGTTTCCCCTGCTCAAAAGCCAGTCGAATCTGACTCTTGGGGGCTGTGCTCATCTCCGTTTCCAAGACGAAGAGCCAGCGCTGTCTGAAGACATCTCTGTGGTCATGTGGCTGGCATGACTAAATGTCAAGGTGCACATAACGCTGTTACCTTCCCACCGAAGCAGTACCTGTTTATCTACCTGCAATTTCTTGCTTTCGAACTGCTAGGTTGGCAGGAGCTGGGGCCGGAGAGGGGAGCTCACTCCGTCACGCAGCACTCAGGTTTCGAACTACTGAACTACAGACCTTGTGGTCTGCAGCTTGGCATCTTAACCTTTGAGCCACGACGGGCTCTAATTAGCTGGGGAAATTTCTTGTTTTTAAATCTGCTCTGTGCAGAGGCAAGAACGGTCTCTGAGCACTTGCCTAAACACTGTGTCTTGACCAAAGAGCCACCGGGCTTTCCTGAACTCGGGGTTCGGAAATTCCTGGAGATCTGAGGGTGGAACCTGGGAGGGCAGGGCTTAGGGAGCGGACAGTCCGCGGTGCGGTATGATGCCATAGAGCCCGCCTCCTGAAGCAGCCATTTTCTCCAGCAGAAGTGGAATAAATGTATTAAATTGGTAAATAATAACACGGGTGGCCGTGCCAGTCTGTCTGTAGCAGTGAAAAAGAGCAAAAGTCCGGTAGCACCTTAAAGAAGAACAAAATTTGTGGCAGGGGAGGGGCACGAAAACTCATCCCCTGCCACAAATCTTGTTAGTCTTTAAGGTGCTGCTGGTGTGACTTTGGGTCACTCACAAGTTCTCTCAGAGCTGTCCTCTCAAGAGCAGTCCTCGAAGGAGCTCTCTCGGCCCCACCTCCCTCACAGGGTGTCTGTTGTGAGGAAAGGAAGGGAAAGGAGTTTGTAAGCCGCTCCAAGACTCCTTTCGGTAGTGAAGGGTGGGGTATAAATCAAATTTCCTCCTCCTCCTCCTCTTCTGTAAAAAAGAGCAAGAGGAGGAGGAGGAGGAGATTGGATTTATTCCCCACCTTTCAGTACCCGAAGGAGTCTCAGACTGGCTTACAATCTCCTTCCCTTCAACACAACAGATACCCTGTGGGGTAGGTGGGGCTGAGAGACCACTTTTGAAGACTGCCCTTGAGAGAACAGCTCCGAGAGAACTTGAGACTGACCCAAGGTCACACCAGCAGCTGCATGTGGGGGAAAGAGGGGGGACTCAAACCGGGTTCTCCCAGCCGCTCTACTAACCACCAATGTTCCCTCTAAGCTGTGGAGTCTTGTGAGCAAGAATTCTTATTTAGGAGCTACTGGCATTCAAGTTGTGCGCGAGCGATTTGGCTGCTGCATGAATCAGTTTGCTCTGGAGCCCCATCCTGCCTGAGCGAAGACAAAAATGTGTGAGCCGGAGGCTAAAAAACTGTGAGCTAGCTCACACTCGCTCAGCTTAGAGGGAACCCTGCTAACCACTACCCCAAATTGGCTCTCAATAAATAATAAGAATACGTGACCTACGTAACTTAGAGATCGGTTGTACTCCCAAGAGATCTCTCCCCCCCACCTGTAGACTGGCAGCCCCGCCGCACCCCTGGCAAATATTATTTCCCCAGGATCAATCCCTGCTGTCCTTCCTTCCTCTCATGGGAAGATCCTTTTCCCAAAGGTAATCTTGATTTGGGGCCGGGGTTTTTTGTTTGGTTTTGCTCACGTTTATTTCCACGGGATCCTTTTTTTCCCCCGCTACCCAAAATTTTATTTTAATAAAAGCAGGCAAATGTCCTGTCCTGTGATTCCGCCATCTTTTACGTCACAGGGCCAGAGGAGGCCACTTCAGGTGTAGCCCACCAGGCGGGGGGTGCTGGGGAACGTCTTGCGCATGCCCATGCACTTCTCCTTGTCGATGAAGAGGGAATTCGCCTTCACCAGGAGGTCGTGCTCCAGCCGGGCCTTGTTGAGGATCAGCAGCTGCAGGGTGTCTTGCGCCTCCCGCAGGCGGAGCTTCAGCGTCTGCAGGGTGTCGTCGATGGTGAAGACCTCATTCACCAGCCTGGGAACAGGGGGGGAAAGGAGGGAAGCGGTCACCCCGCCAGAAGGCAGCATTCATTCCCCCATCATCTTGTCTACAAACCGTGTCGTGCTAGTCTCACGACCGTTTTGGCTGCGCCCTGGACTGCTCCCTGCTGCTGTGGTGCCAAATGTTGTAGTCTGCCTTGAGTCTCTCAGGGAGAGAGGTGGACTACAAAAAAAAAGACATTCCCTTGCTGCTAAATTCAGGTGGGTCACCGTGTTGGTCTGAAGCGGCAGAATGCAGTTGGAGTCCAGGGGCACCTTTCAGACTGACAAAGTTGAATTCTGGGTATGAGCTTTTGTGGGCATGCACACTTCTGCCCAAGAAAGCTTATACCCAGGTCAAGACTTTGTTGGTCTTAAAGGTGCCACCGGACTCAAACTTTGGTCTTAAAGGTGCCACCGGACTCAAACTTTGTTTTGCATCTCTCTCTCTCAGTCTGGGGCAAGTGATGCTCTGTATTCTTGGTGCTTGGGGGGGCAACAGTGGGAGGGCATCTGGTGTCCTGGCCCCGCTGCTGGACCTCCTGATGGCACCTGGTCTTTTTGGCCACTGTGTGACTCAGAGTGTTGGAGTGGATGGGCCATTGGCCTGATCCAACATTGGCTTCTCTCTCATGTTCTCATGTTCTCATGTTCTCATGTTCTCTCTCTCTCTCTCTCTCTCTCTCTCTCTCTCGTATTTATTTGATTTATATACAACCCTCCCCATAAACAGGATCAGGGCAGTTTACATAAATTAATATAAAGCAATTAAAACAATGTTAAAAGAACCGTTTAAACAGAGCAGAATACTAAAATACCATGTAAAAACAAATAGATGAGATGTCATTCAGCTTGATTGAAATACAATAGTGGGTGGCCAGCGCTCCCTCCAAGCTGTGGAGTACTTTGAGCAAACATTCTACTTTGTGAGTTACCGGCATTAAAGTTGTGAGCAGGTGATTTGGCTGCTGCATGAATTAGTTTGCTCTGGAGCCACCTTTCCTGAGCTAAGACAAACAAATGTGTGAGCCAGAGGCTAAAAAATTGTGAGCTAGCTCACACTAACTTAGCTTAGAGGGGACACTGGTGGGTGCCCCGATGTCTATTTGGATCCAGGCCCCTGGTGGGAGATTGGCCAGAGAAGGGCGGGGGACGTCTGCCGCCTCAACCAAAGTTTGAACTCTTACCTTCCTTTCCAACGTATTTGGGAGAGTGTGCATTCACACGGAAGCTCACACCTTGAATAAACCTGTGTTGCTCTTAAAGGTGCCCGACTGGACTCTGAATCTGTTCTATTGCATCTATATATTCAAATCCTGCTTTTCTCCCTAGGTGGAACTCCCAACGTCATTCTCCCGTCCTTCATTTTCTCACAACAACCACCCTGCAAGGTTGGTCAGATTGAGAGCGTGAGACAGGCCCCATCATAGTGGCAAGCCAGCGCCTGATTCTGCACCAACAGCATTTCATATGGACAACATTGTGCGCCAGGAGTCTTCCCAGGTCCTCTGGGTCACCTGTCATCTCAGAAATTTCTAGATTTCGTATCAATTTGTAATGGCCAAAGCGAACAGACTCTTTGCACAGAACGAACAATACTAATTCACCAGCCTACTCTAAATTGGTTCGTATAGGGGCTCCAGTTCTTGAACACAGGGTAGCATACAATATACTCCCGTCAAAGCAAATATATCATAAATGGTTATGCTCAGAGTTCATTTCTAACACAGAAGGTCATAGAACAAACAAGATTGTTCACGCTGTACGCTCATTAGCTCCACACAGTAGACAATTCACAGATATACACCCAGTCATTCACCAATTATAACCAATGCTCCCTCTAAGCTATGGAGTCTTGTGAGCGAAAATTCTACTTTGTGAGCCACTGGCATTAAAGTTGTGAGCGTGCAATTTGGCGACTGCATCTGGAGCCATCCTTCCAGAGCTAAATCAAAAATGTGTGAGCCAGAGGCTAAAAAACTGTGGGCTAGCTCAGACTAACTCAGCTTAGAGGGAACACTGATTATAACTGCTTTATATCGTGTTATTTACATTTATGTGACTTGTTGTAAGTTGCCGTCATGCCTGCATAATGTGTTCATATGCACACTGTAAACTCTTTAATAAAACCAATAAAAATAAATAATAATAATAATAAAAAAGAAATCTCCAGAACTCTGGAATCACGTGTCATACCACGCATACCAACCCCCAGGTTGGATTCTGAGCATGCAAAGACATCATCCCAAATTAGTGTGAGAATACAGGTTATCCCTGACCAGGGCACACCCTTTCTCCTCTTCGGTACTCTGCCTCTTGTGGAGAGTGGAGGAGATCCAAGGCCCGCGAGCTCAGAAGTAAAAGACTCTTTGATCCTGGGCCAAAGCACGTCTACACCTCCACCTGAGTAGCTGCTGGAGATGTTATCTCACCCACCCACTGAGGGCCGACACAGGTAGACTTAAGAAAAGATGAGCTCCCCTCCACCACCAAGGACTCTCCCAGATGATCTGCACCCGGAGGGCTGTAGCCGTTCTATTGCCTGCAATAAAAAATCCTGCCCCTCCTTCAAAGGAAGGCGGGAGCAGGCAAGATTTGGGGAGGTCCAGCGGCATCTCTATGACCCACAGTGTTTTATTGTGGGTATAAACTTCCGTGTGCAAGCACATTTCTTCAGATACACTGAAGCAGAAGTCACCAACCATTATATATAAAAGTCGAGGGTGGGGAGGGGTGTTGCCAGGAAAGGGCTAATTAGATTCAAGATGCATAAGCGACTGAGCGATAAATGTAGCTAAGATTGAAGGCAATTGCCCAGGCCTGTGAATAGCATCAAATCAGCATCCAGCATAATAAAAGAGTTTACAAACAGATGTGAGCATGACCTAAGCATGTGTCATGAGATAAAGAACCCGATATCTCTGTTAAGCCGTGGGGGGTTCCATTGTTCCATTGTAACCCAGCAATCTCCCATTCTGGTCCATTCCTGAAATGCCTTTGCAATAAAACAGCGACTCTGAGGTCCCCCACTGACTGTCCTGGAGGGCTGAAATGTTCTACAAGTTTCTGAGTTTTGTAGTTCCTGATGTCAGATTTGTGTCCATTTATCCTCTGGCACAGGGTTTGGCCTGTTTGTCCTATGTAGAGAACGGAAGGGCATTGTTGGCATTTAATGACATATACAGTTGTGGAAGAAGACGAAGACGAAGAAGACGAAGAAGACGAAGAAGACGAAGAAGACGAAGAAGACGAAGAAGACGAAGAAGACGAAGACGACGAAGAAGAAGAAGAAGAAGAAGAAGAAGAGGAGGAGGAGGAGGAGGAGGAGGAGGAGATTGGATTTATATCCTGCCCTTCACTACCCAAGGGAGTCTCAGAGCGGCTTACAAACTCCTTTCCCTTCCCCTCCCCACACAACAGACAGGGTGTGAGGTAGGTGGGGCTGAGAGAGCTCTGGCAGAAACTGCTCTTTTTCCAAGAACAGCTGTGCCAGAACTATGGCTTGCCCAAGGTGCAGCTGCATGTGGAGAAGTGCCACTCTGACCTGTTTACAGGGTTTAACTCCATAGAATCCCCCCTCCAAAGCAGCCATTTCCTCCAGGGGAGCTGATATCGTGGTTGCCTGCAGATCAATTGTAATAGCAGGCGTTCTCCAGGTGCTACCTGGAGAGTGGTACCCAGTGTTCCCTCTAAGCTGAGTGAGCGTGAGCCAGCTCACAGGTTTTTTTAGCCTCCAGCTCACACGTTGTTGTCTCCGCTCGGGAAGGATGGGCTCCAGAGCAAACTGATTCATGCAGTATAGCCAAATCGCTCGCTCACAACTTTAATGCCAGTCGCTCACAAAGCAGAATCTTTGCTCACAAGATTCCACCACTTAGAGGGAGCATTGCTGGCAACCCTCGTCCAGGGCCGTGAAGGGCTTTGCTGGGGGGGACCGGGACCTTGAATGGAACCTGGAAACCAGGGCTTTTTTTGTAGAAAAAGCCCAGCAGGAACTCATTAGCACAATAGGCCCCACCCAACAGCAGAAACTCATTAGCATATTAGGCCACACCCCCATGTTACCAGAAGTGTGCTCATCCAGCCACACCCACCTTTTGCTTCTTATTCTGTTTACCTTGTTTGTTGTCCAAACCCAGGGCTTTTTTTGGAGCAGGAACTCCTTTGCATGTTAGGCCACACACCCCTAATGTAGCCAATCCTAATGCGTTCCTGCTGTTGGGTGTGGCCTATTACGCTAATGAGTCCCTGCTGGGCGTGGCCAAACTTGGAAGCGAGCCGGAACTCCATTCCTATGCGTTCCTGCCCAAAAATAGCCCTGCTGGAAACCAATGACTTTGCTTAAGGAAGCGGGGACTTTTGAAAAAGCCACAAACAAACAAAGCGGCGAAGGCCTTAGCGCGCGCTCTCTCTCTCTCTCTTTCTCTCCCCCCCCCACCCCTCTCTCTCTGCTTACAAAGGAATCCCAAAGACAATCTCTGTCCTTCCCTCTTCCCTTGTTCCTGATATCACCGTTCTCTTTCTTGCTCGATTTACGTGTCCAACAAATGTCGCCACAGTGACCTCACATGAAGGGCAACGGAAACGGGCCCTTCAACTCAGAGCTCCGCTTTCTCACTTGTTTCCAGACTGCGTCACACTGTCTCAGCCTAGCCTACCTCGTGGGGCTGTTGTGAGGATAAAAACAGAGAACGGGAGTACGTTGTAAAGCCACCTGGGGGTCCCCGCCGGGGAGACAAACGGGGTGCAGGTGAAGTAAATAAAAATCTCCAAATCTCCAAAAATCCAAATCCCCCAAGTCTCCAGGAATTTCCCAAGTTAGAGATGGCAACCCTAGGCCATGAGAAAAAAAACCCATCACCAACCCCCCCACCCCCCTGCCATGGAAAGTTATAGGGGGGGAGATTGGACTGTGCAAACTCTGATTCGGGAGAACCGGATATGATTCCCCACTCCTCCACTTGCAGCTGGTGGTGTGACCTTGGGTTAGTCACAAGTTCTCTCAGAGCTGTTCTCTCAAGAGCAGTTCTCTCAGAGCTCTCTCAGCCCCGCCTACCTCGCAGGGTGTCTGTCGTGGGGAGGGGAAGGGAAAGGAGACTGTAAGCCGCTCTGAGACTCGAGTGAAGGGCAGGGTATAAATCCAATCTCCTCCTCCTCCTCCTCTTCTTCTTCTTCTTCTTCTTCGCTTCCCCACCACGGTCACCATGCCTCCTCTCTCTCTTTCCTTCCCCAGTCCGTCCCCCCCAGGACCTGGAAGGCTGCGGAAGGAAAGGAAGGCTGCCTCCCCTGGTCAGTTTCACTCCCCTCCTTTCAGCTGTTAAACCCGAACAGCTGATCTGGGGGAGTGAAACTGACCAGAAGGTGCAGGGCGGCTTCCCTTTCTTCCCCCAGCCTTGCCGCCACTGCGGGGCTAGGCACACCGGAGGTGAGGGTGTCTGGCATCATCAGGTGGTGGGGCAAGGCTCGTGGGTGGTGGGGCTCTGCCCCCAAATGCCCCCGCCATGACTACGGGCCTGCTCTACATCCTCCTTCTGTCTCAGGTTTCCAAAGACCTCCTAGACAGTGGGTTTGGAGGTTCTGGCAGGGGAGCGCAGATATCATATACCCTTGACCGGAGAACGGTAGGCTCCTTCTATCTGGGGTGGTCCTCCTCTTTCGACCGAGCGCGCGGCTTCGGGAGGGACGCGCGTGGAGCGGTGAGGGAGGTAGGGGACACCCGCCTAGCCAGCCAGATCAGCCGAATCAACCCTGGCGATCAATGGGGTGACAGCGGTCTCAGCCACATCGCAGCCAGCTTTCCCACAGCTCCCTTGAGGAAAGACGGAGAAGAGACCGGCACCGTTCTGTGACTTCACCAAAAAATTAGATGAGTACATCTGAACTCTCCAAAATCTCCCCCTCTCCAGTGCAGACTTATCCTTGATTTAATTGTACCAGTCTTGCTAATTTTCGACGTTCCCATTTCCCTTGCTTGTAAGTTCCTGTTTCTTTGGCGGGGTGTGTTTTGCTCCCTCTAGTGGCCAATTCGATATTACATCAGTATATGTCCAGTGTACCTCCTTGCAAATATAAACTGAAAGTTTTTATGCTAGAGATAAACAGATGTAATAACGAATATGACATCAATATATGTCCAGTGTACCTCCTTGCAGATATAAACTGAAGGTTTTTATGCTAGAGACAAACAGATGTAATATCGAATATTACATCACTATATGTCCAGTGTACCTCCTTGAGGATATAAACTGAAGGTTTTTATGCTAGAGACAAACAGATGTAATAACGAATATTACATCAGTATATGTCCAGTGTACCTCCTTGCGGATATAAACGGAAGGTTTTTATGCTAGAGATAAACAGATGAAATATAGAATATTACATCAGTGTATGTCCAGTGTACCTCCTTGCGGATATAAACTGAAGGATTTTATGCTAGAGACAAACAGATGTAATATCGAATATTACATCAGTATATGTCCAGTGTACCTCCTTGCGGATATAAACTGAAGGTTTTTATGCTAGAGATAAACAGATTTAATATCGAATATTACATCAGTATATGTCCAGTGTACCTCCTTGCGGATATAAACTGAAGGTTTTTATGCTAGAGATAGATGTAATATCGAATATTACATCAGTATATGTCCAGTGTACCTCCTTGCGGATATAAACTGAAGGTTTTTATGCTAGAGATAAACAGATGTAATAACGAATATTACATCAGTATATGTCCAGTGTACCTCCTTGCGGATATAAACTGAAGGTTTTTATGCTAGAGATAGATGTAATATCGAATATTACATCAGTATATGTCCAGTGTACCTCCTTGCGGATATAAACTGAAGGTTTTTATGCTAGAGATAAACAGATGTAATAACGAATATTACATCAGTATATGTCCAGTGTACCGCCTTGCGGATATAAACTGAAGGTTTTTATGCTAGAGACAAACAGATCTAATAATGAATATTACATCAGTATATGTCCAAGGTACCTCCTTGCGGACATAAACTGAAGGTTTTTATGCTAGAGACAAACAGATGTAATATCGAATATTACATCAGTATATGTCCAGTGTACCGCCTTGCGGATATAAACTGAAGGTTTTTATGCTAGAGACAAACAGATGTAATATCGAATATTACATCAGTATATGTCCAGTGTACCTCCTTGCAGATATAAACTGAAGGTTTTTATGCTAGAGATAAACAGATGTAATAACGAATATTACATCAGTATATGTCCAGTGTACCTCCTTGCAGATATAAACTGAAGGTTTTTATGCTAGACATAAGCAGATGACCTCTATGATTTGCACTGGCCGCTTCCTAAGGGTCCCTGCCCCCTTACAACTCTGTATGTGTGGCATGGGAGAAGTAGATGATTTGACCCCTTACATTTTGAGATGCCCTCTTCTTTTGCTCCCCCAAACTAAATTTATCACCAGTATCTTATCTCTGCAGAAAGGAGTTTCAGATATGGAAAAAGTTATATTTTTGCTTGCAGATAAAGATCCGTATGTTTCTAATAGAGTTGCTTTATTTGCATTGGTGGCTAGATCGATTAAATCAAACGGTATAGAAATGACCACAACCTAATTTGGCTCTATATTTATACGACGTTGTTGGATATTAATTTAACTTGTGTTTACTATGGAGTTTTATTATGTGGGATTTTATGCACCGGTTTCTGTATTGTTACAACCTGTGGTCAACACAATAAATTACTACTACACTATATTACATCAGTATATGTCCAGTGTACCTCCTTGCAGATATAAACTGAAGGTTTTTATGCTAGACATAAACAGATGTAATATCGAATTGACCACCAGAGGAAGCACAACGTGTGTGGAACAGGGCGGGGAAATGAAGAAACGAGAGATCTTACAAGTGAGGAAAATTAGAATGTGGGAAAGCCCTCGGTTGTCACTTCAGACTCCGCCGTGTCCCCATGTTTCTTTGGAAGGAAGCGCCAAAGCGATCTTGTAAAGCCACAGACGGAAGCTAGCTCTCTCTGTGACCAGTAGCGACTTGGCATCCGCAGCAGTGAGATCTGGAATCTGACAGCCCTTCGTCTGGCTGTATTGGGGGGGGAGGTCTGAGGGGGGGGACGCTTACTTGAACTGGGGGACGTCTCGGCAAAGCTCCATGTTGGGCCGCCACGTTCGCGCTTCCAGGCGGGTTTGGGCCACTTTGAGTGGGCATTCCTTGGCCATGATAGCTCGTTCCAGCAACATCATAGTGTTCTCTGTCTGGAATATCTCTTGAAGGGTCTGCAAAGGAAAAGAAACAACTGAACGGCATTGAGGAAAAACAGAGCCAAACACACACACACACACCCTTTCCACATATCGAAGACATTCTGCCTGCTGTTTCCAAGGCGGAATGCGTGGGAATGACAAATTTGTAAAATAAATGCTCAAATCCAGATTGGGTTGACTCCTATGACAATTAGAGAGAACCACTCTGGGGCAGTGGTTAGAGTACCGGACTAGGAGCTGGGCGACCCAGGTTCGAATCCCCACTCCGCCATGGAGGTTTGCTGGATGACCTTGGGCCGAACCTACCTCACAAGATTGTTGTGAGGATAAAACGGAAAAGGGGAGAGCACCGTAAGCCAGCTGGGGAATGCAGGCTGGCCTTAAAAACCACATACAACTCCTCCATCAGGGTGAAAAGACAGCTGGGTAGTTTCTCCCATTAGGGGAAAAATCCGAAGAAGAGATTGGATTTATACCCCATGGCCCTTCACTACCCGAAGGAGTCTCAGAGCGGCTGACAATCTCCTTTCCCTTCCCCTCCCCACAACAGACACCCTGTGAGGCAGGTGGGGCTGAGAGAGCTCTTTCGAGAACTGCCCTTGAGAGAACAGCTCTGAGAGAACTTGTGCCTGACCCAAGGTCACACCAGCAGCTGCATGTGGAGAAGTGGGGAATCAAACCCAGTTCTCCCAGATTAGAGTCCGCGCTCCCAACCACTACACCAAACTGGCTCTCTGAAGGGGAAAAATCCCGTGAAGGAAGCGATTGCCGTTGGTTATTGTCCCCAGTCCAAGGGTACACAATGACTCCACGGCAGAGGAAAGCCGGGCTTCCCAGGCCAGACCCCCTCCGCCCGCCCAACAGAGTCCAAATAATCCAAGCAGGAAGTCCGTTTGCCCAAAATCCACTGAAATAAACTGGAGCCACGTAAGAGCACAGTAGAACTTCCTGCCCAATTGCAGCCCCAGGGGACCTGGCTACTGACAGGCGGCCAGCAATCTTTTCTCTTCCAAAACAAAATATTATTCGGACCTTTACATGAACTCCTGTTTCAGCTCAAACTTTTCAGCCGTCTTTTCACCCTGACGGGGGAGCGGTCTGTGGTTTTAAGGGCAGCCTATGTTCCCCAGGTGCCGTCTCGCTGTCTTTTTCCTTTTCCGTTTTAAAATTAAGAATGGAGAGTTAAGCGGCGGGGTGGGTGGGTAGATGGAGGAAGGAAAGCCGTATCCTTAAGGGTAGCCCCTTCCAACTCGCCTTTGGTTCCACCTCACTGCTATGGATTGGACCCAAATGATTTCAGGGCTTCTGAAAACGCGACTACGGGTTGGAAGAGAAAGTCACCAGATGGTGCGGTCCTGATCGGTATCGTTTTATGGGCACGTTCCAAGTGTTGGGAAGCAAAATGGGGGGGGGACACACCAGTTTGGGGGGGAGAAGACCCCCAAATCCTGAATTTAATCACAACCAGGCTGGGTATTAGTTTAGACCACGGACTCTAATCTGGGAGAACAGGGTTTGATTTCCCATTTCTCCACATGCAGCTGCTGGTGTGGCCTTGGGTCAGTCACAAGTTCTCTCAGAGCTGTTCCTGAAAGAGCACTTCTCTCAGAGCTTTCTCAGCCCCACCAACCTCACAGGGTGTCTGTTGTGGGGAGGGGAAGGGGAAGGGGAAGGGGGGGGGAGTTTGTAAGCCAGTCTGAGACTCCGAGTGAAGGGTGGGGCATAAATCCAATCTCCTCCTCCTCCTCCTCCTCCTCCTCCTCCTCCTCTCTCAAGGGCAGTTCTTAAAAGAGCTCTCTCAGCCCCATCTACTTCACAGGGGTCTGTTGTGGGGAGGGGAAGGGAAAGGAGATGGTAAGCCGCTCTGAGACTTCTTCCGGTAGTGAAGGGTGGGGTATAAATCCAATCTCTCTGTCTCTGCCTCTCTCTCTCTCTCTCTGCCAAATATATACCTTTCTATTCTAGAACATGGGTGTGTAACATGCCATCAGTTCACAGATGACATGACCTCAGCAAGCGGCTTTCCTGTTGGATTAAGCCCCATTGTTGTGCGTAATTTGAATTTTCTGGCTCAGGGGCCAGAATGTCCGGGGATGGTTTTGGCTGGAAACGATAGGTGTAAAAGCACACTACCTCCGGGGAAATGGAAAACGACACCGAGAACCTCTAAACGCGCAGCTTAGCGGCTTCACTGGACGTCTCTAACTGTGCAGTCCAACGAATCCTGTCTTGGGAGTGAGCTTGAATTGAAGCGACCGGAGTAGGGTTCTGAGTGGAACGGCTCGGGATTGCATTGGGTTGCCACCCTCCAGGCGGGGGCCTGATGGCCAGGCTACAAAGGGATCAGTTTTAGGCTTGCTAACCTCCAGGTGGCCCTGGAGATCCCCTGCTCTGACAGTGGAAGGAATAGCAAAAGTATGTCTCTGAAGAAGTGAGCAATGACTCACGAAAGCTCCTCCCCTGCCTCAAATTTTGTCAGTCTTGAAGGTGCTTCTGGACTCTGGCTCTTTTCCACTGCCACGGACAGACTAACAGGGCTACTCAGCTGATATTGCACTTGATCTCAAACTGACCAAGATCCACGGCAGAAAATGGTTGCTTTGGAGGGTGGACCCTATGGCATTTCACCCTGCTGAAGTCCAAGAAGAAGAAGAAGGAAAAGGAGAAGAGATTGGATTTATACCCCGCCCTTCACTTGGGAGTCTCAGGGCAGCTTACAGTCTCCTTCCCCTTCCCCTCCCCACAACAGACACCCTGTGAGGTAGGTGGGGCTGAGAGAGCTCTTTAGAGAACTGCCCTTGAGAGGACAGCTCTGAGAGAACTTGTGACCAACCCAATGTCACACCAGCTGCTGCATGTGGAGAATTGGGGGAATCAAACCCGATTCTCCCAGAAGAGAAGAAGAAGAGGAGATTGGATTTATACCCCGCCCTTCACTACCCAAAGGAGTCTCAGAGCAGCTTACAAACTCCTTTCCCTTCCCCTCCCCACGACAGACCCCCTGTGAGGTAGGTGGGGCTGAGAGAGCTCTTTCGAGGATTGCTCTTGAGAGAACCCAGTCCAAGTTTGGAATACTATGGACTATTTATCATTGTTTCATGCCCTACTCTGGATCAAAGAGGAGGAGGAGGAGGAGGAGGAGGAGATTGGATTTATATCTTGCCCTTCACTAATCGAAAGAGTCTCAGAGCAGCTTACAACCTTTTTCCCTTCCCCTCCCCACCACAACAGATACCCTGTGAGGTCAGTGGGGCCGAGAGAACTCTTTCGAGGACTGCCCTTGAGAGAACAGCTCTGAGGGAACTTGTGACTGACCCAAGGTCACACCAGCAGCTGCACGTGGAGGAGTGAGGACTCAGACCCAGTTCTTCCAGATTAGAGTCTGTGCTCCTAACCACGACACCAAACCCCACCCCACCCCAAAGCGCCAGGTATCCAGGAGAGCCAGTCTGGTGTGGTGGTTAAGTGCGCAGACTCCAATCTGGGAGAACTGGGTTTGATTCCCCATTCCTCCACTCGCACCTGGCTGGATGACCTTGGGCAAGCTGTAGTTCTGACAAGAGCTGTCCTTGAAAAAGAGCAGTTTCTGTCAAGAGCTCTCTCAGCCCCACCGACCTCACAGGGTGTCTGTTGTGGGGAGGGGAAGGGAAAGGAGTTTGTAAGCTGCTCTGGGACACCCTTAGGTAGTGAAGGGCGGGGTATAAATCCAATCTCTTCTCTTCTTCTTCTTCCCAACACAGAGCTGCCAACCCCGAAGTTCCCCTGGAGAAAATGGCGGCCTTGGAGGTTGGCCTCTCTGGCATTATACCCCACCGTGGTCACTAGACACGGCACCCGGACCAGGCTGCCGCACACCCAAGCCAACCACATGAAGATTTGGGTCTTTCCTCAGACCCCGCCCTCCGCAGGCTCCATCCCCAAGTCCCCAGGAATTCCCCAGGCCCGAGCAGACCGCCCCGCCCTCTGACCTTGGCCAGCTGGGCCTGCAGCTTGTTCTTGGCCTCAGCCACCTCCGAGATGCGGCGGTCGAAAGCCAGGTTGGTGTTCGTGTACTGCCTCCACATCTCCTCCGAGGTGCTCTCCAGCGTGTGGTCGGTCTCCTCGCGGAGGAGGGCCGAGTTGGAGCGCGCGTTCTGGGAGTACCGGATGTTGTCGTCGCTGAACTTGGCCCACGTTTCGGGGACTGAGACTCTGGAAGGGAGAAGTTAGGGCCGCTGCCTAGAGGGGCCAACTGCCATTGGGGGTGTGTGTGTCGAGTTCTCCTGGAATTTAGGGTTTCCAACTCCAGGTGGGGGAATTCCTGGAGATTTGGGGGCAGTGCCTAAGGACAGGAAACCATGCCCTATTTATTTTTAAACGCCCTTCTTCCCTGTCCTGAGAAACACAAAAGGCTCTACATCTGACAACAGCACTACAGATAAGATCAGAATTTCAACAGCCCATCCATATGCAAAAGAACCTCCTCAGGAAAGCTCTGCCATTAGCAGGTCACTGCCTGGGGAACTCCTACCAGATAATGACTCGGCCCTACCCCACCTTCCTGAGTAGCTATAACTACCTGCCTACCATTTTTCTTCTCACACTGACACAGAGAGCACTCCATCTTTCTGTGTTATACCTCTGAGGATGCCAGTCACAGCTGCTGGCGAAACGTCAGGTCCTACGATGCCAAGAAAACAGCCATACAATCCTGGAAGATCTACAACAGCTAATGAACTCCGACCATGAAAGCCTTCGACAATGTATTTTCAACTCTATTACCCTGTGACAAAGATCCATATATATATTTTTTAAGTTCTACAAATCGAGGGACGTTCCAAGTATGCAAAAGTGAATCCCAGCTCACGGAAGAAAACGGGAAGTCCCCTACGCGCGTGGAGCTTTGAGAAATCCGGAAGCCCCTTTATGTGTGGAGCTTCAAGTACATATCAGAGAGGCAGATAGGGATGCCAGCCTCCGGGTGGAACCTGGGAATCCCCTAGGTTAGAATTACAGCTCATCTCCAGACTACAGAGATCGGTTCCCCTGGAGAAAATGGCTGCTTTGGAGGGTGGACTCTGTGGCCTTGGACCCCCACTGAGGTGGTCCCACCCCTCCCCAGGCCCCACCCCCAAATCTCCAGGTGTTTCCCAACTTGTATCTGGCAGTCCTACACCCCACAGCCCCTACTGGTGACCAGGAGGGACCTGGCAACTCCAAATTGTCAAAGCAAGACTGCAATAAGAACCAAAGTGTTACTCTAAAGCCAAAGCTGTCTAACATCAACACCAACTCATAGAGTTGCCAACTTCCAGGTCAAAAAATAACAAAGACACTGTAATAAAATGCAAAAAATATATAACTGACAATTCATATGTAGGTAAAGGCAATGAAAATATATAATTCAATAAAGAATTAAGCAACATAGCATGATCACATATACAAGGAACAGAAATTCCATAGCACAAACAAGAAGAAGAAGAGGAGGAGGAGGAGGAGGAGGAGGAGAGATTGGATTTATACCCCGCCCTTCACTACGCAAGGGAATCTCAGAGCGGTTTACAATCTCCTTTCCCTTCCCCTCCCCACAACGGACTCCCTGTGAGGTAGGCAGGGCTGAGAGAGCTCTTGACAGAAACTGCTCTTTTTCAAGGACAGCTCTGACAAAACTATGGCTTGCCCAAGGTCATCCAGCAGGTGCAAGTGGAGGAGTGGGGAATCAAACCCGGTTCTCCCAGATTAGAGTCCATGCACTTAACCACTACACCAAACTGGCTCTCATATAAGTCAGAGAATGGTCAAACAACTGGGATCCAAAAAATGTCCAAAGAACCAGTCCAAAGGGATCAGAACGTCTGAAGTCAGGCAGAAATATTTAAAAAAACACACACAGGTAGAAGTAAAAAATCAGGCAGAAGTCACACAAATTCAGGCAGAAGTCACACGAGGATTCCGGATATAAAAGCCTCATTTCGGCAGACTTCATCAGTGGCACTAATCACAGTGCATCCATTAATTAATCGCTGTTACGTACGTCAGAGTCATTAAAGAAGACCGCCATTCCAAAATGTCCTTGTGACGACCTCTTATCTGGGGAGGTCTAGTTTTACTTTAAAAGTTCTTATGGTTTATTTTTCTTTGGGTATTCTGGCTGCCACCAGGAATTTTAATAAATTCCAATTCTTCTCTTTGCTTCTGGGGTTGGTATTATAGCACGGGGTCTAGGCCTTTCGAGGAACTATGTGGTCTGAGGAAGGATTCTTTACTTAGCTGGTAAACTTGAAGTAAATAGGATTTATTTAGTGAACAATGTAAACAGTACTGGGAATGATTTGAACCATGGCTTGGTGTCTCTCACAAGCCTCTCTCCACTGACAGGGATATTTCATAGGCAACTTTGTAACACTTTTCACTGTACTTTTTCTTAGACTCTCAGCTTTCAATTGTAACTCTTATAACACAGAGACTTTTACTCTTATATTTCACACAGGAAAACTTCTCACACAGAGACCTCAGGACAAAAATCCTATCAACTGCTTTTACACAGCACACTCTGCTGACTCTGTTTAACTCAACTGTCATACCTAACAGACACTCCTGATAGACATTCAAATCATCCACACAGCATCCATTCCAAACCCCCTCCCCCTCTCTGTCACTCACCAATCACACAACTTGCCTGTTTCAGCATCCTAGTTTGTCATACATCCATACAAACCAAACTTTAAAGACACACACACCCAGTAAAACATGGAATCGTTACAGTCCTCTTTTATCTGTATTCTTATCTGGGCACCACTCAAGGAGTAATACAGAGAATCAATAATCAGTAATACAGAGAATCAAGCAAGAATCAGTCTAAAAAAAATAAAACACAACCTACAAACAGTATTCAGACCCACCAGAAAAATACAACAGATGGTACAATCGGCAAAAGACAGAAGAGACCATCTCACTTCTGCAGGAGTTTACCGCATACCATGCAGTTGTGGACAAGTTTACATCGGGACCACACAGCGTAGCATTCGGACAAGAATAAAAGAACATGAAAGACACTGCAGACTTGGCCAACCTGAAAAACCAGCAGTGGCTGAACATAGCCTAACTCAAACAGGACACAGTGTTTTGTTCGAAGACACTGAAAGGTTGGACAACACTTTCAATTACCATGTCAGATTACACAGGGAAGCCATTGAAATTCACAAACATAAACATCATTTCAACAGGAAAGAAGAGAGTTTAAAAATAAATAGGACATGGCTTCCTGTCCTGAAAAACACAAAAGGCTTTACCTCAGACAATAGCACTACAGGTAAGATTAGAATTTCAACAACCTCCTCAGGAAACAAAAGAACCTCCTCAGGAAAGTTCCTCCATTAGCATGTCCATAGCCCTGCCCACCTTCTGGAGTAGATATAAATTGACTGCCTACCATTTTCTTCTCACCTTGACACAGAGAGTATTCCATCTTTCTGTCTTATACCTCTGAGGATGCCAGTCACAGCGACTGGCGAAATGTCAGGTTCTACAATGCCAAGACCACGGCCAAACATCCCGGAAAATCTACAGCAACTAATGTACTCCGGCCGTGAAAGCCTTCGACAAAACCAGTCTAATGCTGGTAAAACCTTCCAGATAAGGGATGGAGTTCTCCCAGTATTATAACGGAATCTCCAGACTGCAGAGATCAGTTTCCCTGAAGAACATGGCTGCTTTGGGGGGCGGAGTCTAGGGCATTACCTCCCTGCCCTCTTAAGCCCCACCCTCCCCCAGCTCCGCCCCCAAATCTCCCGGAATCTCCCACCCCAGAACTGGCAACCCCCGACACCAAGAGAGAGCCCTGAGCGCGGTCGTCAGCTTAGCATTTTATTTTTTGCAGTCTGTGCATGGAATATCAGCCCAAGGGCCTGTGATGTGGCGTCTCAGTTTCCATTCGAGGGAGTGGAAATGGGGAGGAGTAGTAGTAGTAGCTGGAAGCTCATGGGATCACAACTGATCTCTAGTCCCCCTGGAGAAAATGGCTGCTTCGGAAGGCGGACTCTGTGGCCTCGTACCCCACGGAAGTCCCTCCCACTCCACAAACCCCACCCTCCCCTCCTCGGCCTCCACCCCCAAAATCTCCAGGTATCTCCCAAACCGGAGCTGGGAATCTTACTCACGTCCCATCGATTTTCTCCACTCCATGGTAGTAGTTAATGCTGTCGGATGTGTTCCGCAAGTTATAGCACTTCTCGTCGATGAAATGGGCAGAGTTTTTGTCTCCTAGGTCCCTCTCAAGGGCATGCTGGGCGTCTCGGTTAATTCTACACAAAAAAAAAAAAGGAGCAAAGACGTCCATCACACAAAAAGGTTTAGCGTTTTGTGTTTTAGCCCTGGCTAGCAGTGGCTTGGAGGTTAAGATGCTGAGCTGCAGACCGAAAGGTCGGTAGTTCGGCAGTTCGAGACCCGAGGGCCGCGTGACGGAGTGAGCTCCCGTCTCTGGCCCCAGCTCCTGCCAACCTAGCAGTTCGAAAGCAAGTAATTGCAAGTGGATAAACAGGTACCACTTTGTTCCATGTGTCTTGGTGTTTAGTCATGCCAGCCACACGACCACGGAGAAGTCTTTGGACAGCACTAGCTCTTCAGCTTGGAAACAGAGATGAGCACCATCCCCTAGAGTCAGATTTGACTAACTTTCGAGCAAGGAAAACCTTTACCTTTACAAGAAGAAGAAGAGATTGGATTTATACCCCGCCCTTCACTCGGAGTCTCAGAGCGGCTTACAAACTCCTTTCCCTTCCCCTCCCCACAACAGGAACACCCTGTGAGGTGGGTGGGGCTGAGAGAACTCTGACACAAACTTCTCTTTTTCAAGGACAGCTGTGCCAAAGCTTGTGACTGACCCAAGGTCACATCATCAGGTGCAAGTGGAGGAGTGGGGAATCAAACCCGGTTCTCCCAGATTAGAGTCCGCACACTTAACCACTACACCAAACTGGCTACAAGAAGGTAGGCAATCCTTTGGCTTGAATTCCCAGCTTTCTTTTTTCTTTTTAAGTAGGTTAACCCTTCTTGTTGCAGAGGTATAAGGGGAAAGGTATTAAATGGCAACCTGGTCTTAAAAACTGCCTTCTTAATTGGCTGCTATTCACTGGAGGATCAAACGTTCCATGAGGAGGCCCCCAGGGTTACATTTGTAACTACAAAATCAGTAGTAACGAGGCAGGACTTACCACCCGCTATTTAAAAACTGGATTACATTTTCAAAAGCTTACTTTAGCTGTTGTTCAATTCTTTCTGCGAGTCTTCTCATTTTCTCTTGGCACGATTTGATCAAATCAACTTCCTGCAACAGAAAACAGTCGCTCATCAGCAATTCTACCAAAGCAGAAGCACCATGACACTGTCCACACAAAACGAAAAGTGGACACAAGAACCGGCAATAATCTGCAACACCTTTATTTTATTTATTGACTTGATTTAATTTATATCAAATCCCCTGCAAGCGGGGTCCAGAAACCCAGTGCAAGATTCGGGTACATACGCCTATCTGAATGTACTCCAAGAAATGACGCCCTCGACTATTTTTTCTTTCCTTTCCTTCATTTAACTATTTGCATCTTACTTTCCTATAGGGACCACGGTGGCTCAGTGGTTAAGACGCTGAGCTGCAGACCAGAAGGTCTGTAGTTTGGCAGTTTGAGTGCCGCGTGATGGAGTGAGCTCCCGTCTCTGGCCCCAGCTGCTGCCAACCTAGCAGTTCGAAAGCAAGAAATTGCAAGTAGATAAATAGGTTCTGCTATGGGGGGAAGGTAACAGCGTCCCGTGCGCCTTGGTCTTTAGTCATGCTGGCCACATGACCACGGAAATGTCTTCGGACAGCGCTGGCTCTTTGGCTTGGAAACGGAGATGAGCACCGCCCCCTAGAGTCGGAGTCAACTGGCTTTTGAGCCAGGGAAACCTTTACCTTTTGCCTTTACCTTACTTTCCTATCATTCGAGGCATTTAATGAAAGAACACTAAAATGTAAACACGAGAAATACTTTAGGCTGTTCCTGCATTGAGCAGGGGGTGGACAAGATGGCCTGTATGTCCCAACTCTGGGATTCTAGCGCAAAACTCAAATAAGTGCATGCACAAAGAAGTCAGTGGTGGAAATAAACACACGCATGACATTAATGCAAGGAGAGAGAAAAATACTTCTGGTCAAACAAACAATGCGGCTCCAGAATGCTGTTTGTGGATAAGTGTTTTGTTCACGAGGCCAGGAAAACTTTGTACCTGGATCAGATTCTTTTCCACGTCGTCGTGAACCAGGTCGATCCCCATCCGCTTCTCTCGGAAGTATAAGCACTCCAAAGCCACCTGTAAGCAAGTGAGAAAATCAACACTGTGAATGATTCTTGAGTTCTTTTAGATCAGGGGTGTCAAACATGTGGCCCGGGGGCGGGATCAGGCCCCCGGAGGGCTTCCATCAGGCCCACAGTGGAACTGGCTGTCTTCTGCTTCTTCTTCCAGTTCTGCTGCTGCTGCGTCATGGTAGGTTTGCAGCTTACAGATACACACAGCTGAACGGCATACTCAAAATTGCACAGACATTTTGATGCAATAATTCAGAGCAAGAGGTGTCAGTTATCATACACTGTCAAATAAACAAAATATTGCACAAGTGTTTTAAGTACATTTTTAGTTTAAGTTTAAAAAAACACCCTTTGTGTTTGTGTCCTTTATAAAATTTACGTCTCCGCTACCTGGCATTACATTTTGTGACACACGTGGCCCAACGAAGTCTCATTTGTCAGATCCGGCCCTCATGACAAATGAGTTCGACACCCCTGTTTTAGATTGTTTCAGGAGGGGTGGCCGCCGCACTGGTTTGCAATATACAAGAGCTCGATTCGAGTCCAGGAGCACAGTAGGGACCCACAAGATTTTCGGGGTACCAAGCTTTTGAGAGTCAGCGCTCTAAGTTATCTGACAAAGAGAGCTTTGACTCTTGAAATCTCATGCCCCGAAAATCTTGTGAGTCCCTTGGGGACTTTGAGAGAATGCAACCCATTGTCTGTTCATCCAGTCTGACCTCCCAACAGTGGTAGAAAACCGTTCTGAAGACACCTGTGAAAATCAGCCCTACTCTAAGATAACTGGAGGAACAAGCAAAGGGGGTGTTTGTTGCAGCAAACTAGTGAGTAATGGTGCAGTCTTAAACGGATTTTACTCCTAAATCCGTTGAAGAGTGGATTTAAAAGGGTGTAAATCTATTTAGGATTGAGATGTCAATGCTGTAGAGGTTGAACCATGACTTGGGAGAGCCTCTGGCTGCTATCGGCTTCCGAGAACTTTCCGTCTATTGGCAGAAATCCAGGTTCGTGAGAAGAATCTTTTTTTAAAAAAGAAAGGCAAAAAACAACCTTTCTGTTCCTTAGAATAAAGTTTGAGTCCAGCGGCTCCTTTAAGACCAACAAAGTTTAATTCTGGGTATAAGCTTTCGTGTGTGTGCATACACGTATCTGAAGAAATGGGCATGCACACAAAAGCTTATACCCAGAATTAAACTTTGTTGCTCTTAAAGTTGCCGCTGGATTCTAAATCTGTCCTGTTGCTTCAGATCAACACGGCAACCCACCTGAATCTTTCTTTCTCTTAATTAATTTTCTTAATTAAGGCAATATTAATTAAGGCAACATGTCCTCTTTTCTGGTGTCTGTCCTCTTTTGGGCTCTTTTTAAAAAACTGCTGAAAATGTCCTCATTTGGGGTGGGAAGGTTAGGAATATTCCGAGTTCGTAGCAGTTATCACAGTTTAAATCGTAGGGATATTTAAAATGAGATTTGTCATAGTGTTCACTTGTTTGAAGTAGTCAGTTGGAAAATATGCCCTATTGTATTTCAAAATATGGTACACCTTAGAATAAAAGGGCGGCTTACAGGCATGTATACAAATACAGTAAAACACAAAATACTTTAAAACAGATAAAACAGTTAAAACCAATCATGATTACAAAGTGCTAACAAATACAGGTAATAGGCGATGGCGGCGTTCTTTTGGCATCCAGAAAACAACAAACCACCATTGTCCATATATACTGGGACTGTTTATTACAGCAAAGCGGATTTGCGTTTTTAGACTGCCACTCACAGGGCCAAAATAAGGATCCCAAAAAGAAATAATCACACACTGCACACTGGAAAAGGTTGTATGTTGTTGTTGTTCAGTCGCACAGTTGAGTCTGACTCTTCGCGACCCCATGGGCCACATCACGCCAGGCCCTCCTGTCTTCCACCGTCCTCCGGAGTTTGCGTAATTTCATGTTCATTGCATCGATAACACTGTCTGACCATCTAATCCTTGGCCGTCCCCTTCTTCTTTGACCTTCAGTCTTTCCCAGTATCAGGGTCTTCTCCAACAAGGGCTCCCTTCTCTTTGGGTGGCCAAAGTATTTTATATTTTACATATTTATACCTTTGGGTTTTTAATTTGTTTTCTTTACATCACGGGTCATCCACGTGTCTTGTTGGCACTCAAGGTGGGTTACACAATCACAGAACAATAAAGCCCAATCTGGTCTGTACCCCGGGGTCATTTCCTGCGGGAGCGCACAGGAGCGGAGCTCCGGCAGAAAGGAGCCTAGGGGATGGGCACATGCAACAAGCTCCACCCCCCCTGCTCCCACCAGCCCTCAGTTGGGCCATGAGGAGCAAGCATCAGCCAGGTAAGTTACAGCCCCCCCCCACCTGCCTTCAGATACAAGCTCTCCCTCCTCTGTGAGAGCAGATCTGCGCGTCCCCCCCCCAATAGCTAGCAATCCAAAACAGTCCAATGGAGCCTGAGTGGTAGGTGTTGCCTTCTGACACACTTCCGGTGATGTCAGGGGGTGTGGCATATGCAAATAAGTTACGCGAATGGGTTATGCTAATGAGCTCCTGCACCTCTTTTTCTACGAAATGACCCCTGGGCCTGATACATGTCAGGGCATGGCTGGCGTGGCCTATGCAAATGAGTTATGCAAATGAGTTATGCTAATGGGCTCCTGCACCTCTTTTTCTGTACCATAAATGATACGATAAAACTGGATCGCACAATTAAGAGAACAATGAAATAAGGAACGTGGTTTTGAGTCTAGTGGCACCTTGAAGACCAACCAAGTTTCAATCTGGTTATACCCAGACTTCGTTCTGCTGTTTCAGACCAACATGGCAAATTCCCCCGCCCCTCCATGGAATAAAGACTATTTTATTATTTTCTCTTGTTTAATTTCTGGGAGCCACCTGTGTTGGGTCGCTGAAGAGGCAGCACTGAAATGTTTTAAACATTGTGCGTTTGCTTGTATTTTAAATGTCACATTTCCAAGTGGCAGCCTGCCGGAGAAACCAAGAGAGAATGTGGGCATCATTGTTGTTACGGAAGCTGGCGTTCTAACCACTGCACAAAACTGCCTCTAGATCCCAAACTCAATGAACCTACGTCTGGATCCAGCAAAGCCCTTCTTGTGTAAATGGAAGTCTCCCACCCGTGACCAGTCGATTCTGTATTTAAACAAATTATCTTGCCTGAATATTGCATCCCAAAGGAAAACATGCCAGTGCCAATTTAGGGGGGGGGTTTTGCCCTGCCCTGTCAAAATGTGATTGCCATCACCACCACCATTTTTAGCAACAGGCTTACTACTTGCATTCCTGTTTGGACACTCAAGTGGCTGCAAGAGGTTTCCCTTTCAGAAGAAGAGATTGGATTTATACCCTGCCCTTCACTACGCAAAGGAGTCTCAGAGCAGTTTACAATCTCCTTCCCTTCCCCTCCCCACGACAGACACCCTGTGAGGCAGGTGGGGCTGAGAGAGTTCTTTCGAGAACTGCTCGAGAGAACAGCTCTGAGAGAACTTGTGACTGGCCCAAGGCCACCCAGCTGGCTTGGGCATTCTCCCCCATCTGATGGCCAGAAGGGCCCACGGGTTGTAAACACAGAGGAATAAGAACAAACCTTCCCCTCCTGCCTCTAAAGCTACGTGAGAGCTGGAGGAACGGCAACATCCACGGTGGCTGGCTAAAAGGAAGAGGAAAGCTTCATGCTCCACCTCGTGGCCAGATTTAGACATGCAACGCAGCAAAAGTGGTCGCGGAGAGAGGACGATGCATCTGCCTTTGCATGAGGACTTTCTATGCTCTGAAGCATGGGAATGAACACACTTTATAGCTTCTTTTTTTAAAAACGGCATCGAGTCGCAACCGACTTTTGGCAACCTCGTAGGGTTTTTGTGGTGTATTCAGTCTGACAATGTATGTATGTGAACTCACTCATTGAATCACCCCATGTGAAGCTTTCATCCTGGGCTAGGATCCTAATCCTTCAATTGTAACTGGTAGCCCAGGAAGAGCCGACCAATCACCAACAGCCAGTTCCAAGAGCGGGAACTATTGTGATTGGACTTTATCCCTGCAACCTCATAGGTTGGTATTTGTATAGTAGGCGTGGCTACATTAGCCGGGAGAGTTTAAAAGCAGAACAGCTTCAATGCAAAAGCTGTTCTGGCTATTCATGTTGATCTGTTTGGAGTTGAGTTACGAGTGGCTGAATAAAGCTGATCTTTTGCTGAAATCACTCTCTGACTCTTTGCTAAGTAACAGCAAGTAACAGTTTGCTAAGTAACAGCAAGTAACAGTTTTTCGAGGCAAGAAATGCTCAGAGGTGGTCTGCCATGGCCTGGCACTGCATCGCAATCCTGGGACTTCTTCTGTGGCTACCCATCCACGTCCTAACCAGAGCCGCCCACACTTAGCTTTCGAGATTTGATGAGATTGGGCTCGGTTGGACTGTTCAGGTATGGGCTTACAGGAGGAAGAAGATTTTTATACCCCGTCCTTCCCTTGGAGTCTCAGAGCGGCTTCCAATCTCCTTTCCCTTCCCCTCCCCACAACAGACATCCTGGGAGAGCTCTGAGAGAAACGGCTCCTGAGAGAATAGCTCTGGAAGAACTTGTGACTGACCCAAGGTCACACCAGCGGCTGCAAGCGGAGGTGTGGGGAATCAAACCCGGTTCTCCCAGATATGAGGCTGCTGTCAACCACGACACCATGCTAGCTCTCTGGAAGCTGACATTGGGTTGGATCCCGACTAAAGGGGCCATTTCCACCAATCCCTGCTGCAGAGTCGAATTCTCATATCATTCCTCAGTACAATTGCCAACTGTGGCTTGGGAAATTCCTGAAGATTTGGGGGGCGTGGCCTGGAGAGGGTGGAGTTTGGACAGGGGAGGGAGCTCCATGGGATAGTGTTGACCCAGAAGCTGCCCTTTGAAGGGGCTATTTTCTCCAAGGGGACTGACCTCTGTCGCCTAGAGATCAATTGAGACCCTGCCTGGAGGTTGGCAAGCATATTCTCCAGGGTCTCCTGGGTTTTTTCCCCCCTCCCCACCCAGGAGCAGTATTTTGTGAGAGCCAGTTTGTTGTAGTGGTTAGGAGCGGCGGACTCTAATGTGGGAGAACCGGGTTTGATTCCACACTCCTCCACATGCAGCTGCTGGTGCTGCTTGTGTGACCTTGGGTCAGTCACGAGTTATCTCAGAGCTGTTCTCTCAAGGGCAGTCCTCGAAAGAGCTCTCTCAGCCCCACCCATCTCACAGGGCATCTGTTGTGGGGAGAGGAAGGGAAAAGAGTTTGTAAGCCGCTCTGAGACTCCGAGTGAAGGGCGGGGTACAAATCCAATCTCCTCCTCCTCCTCCTCCTCCTCCTCTTCTTCTTGCGGAGATTAGTGGGGAGGTGGGAAAGTCGTGTTCTGCTGGTGGGAAATTTAGGCTGGCTCTAAATCCCATTTACATCCCCATCCAAACCATCTTCATGCCGAACCAAACACATCTGGAATGGCTCTTTCCAAGGGTGTCCATAAGGAGCATCGTTTGCGGGCTCAGGAGCTCCGTTTCAGCCCTTTCAGACCCTCATGGGTTCCCAGACAGGGTTGCCAACCTCCTTTTAGGCCCTGGAGATCTCCTGGAATCACAAGTGACAGACCTCCAGATGAGAAAGACCAGTTCCCCTGGAGGAGAAGGCGACTTCATTGGATGTACTCGATGACATTTGCATCCCCGCTGAGGCCCCGACCCTCCCCGAACCCCACCCTCCCCAAACCCTACCCACAAAATCTCCAGAAATTTCCCAACCTGGCGTTGGCAACTCTGTGCAGATGACTCGAAACATTCATCCCGTCGTTTGAGGTTGGAACCTGGGGAGGGCAGGGTTTGGGGTACGGGGGGCCCTCAGCCGGGTCGGAAGCCGTAGAGTTGAGGGTGCCGACCTCCAGGTAGCGAATGCAAAAAGAGAGTAAGAAATCCTCCTCATAAACCTCCAAAAGCATTCAAAGCACTAAATATAATACTCACAAAGTATATACACAATCAGCAGATAACAAACATACAAAGCAATTCCAGGTGGGGCAGCCGTGTTGGTCTGAAGCGGTAGAACCAATTTGGAGTCCGGTGGGGACACCTTGAAGACCAACAAAGGTTTATTCAGGGTTTGGTCTTTCGTGTGCAGGCACACGAAAAAAAGTATTTGAAAAAGTGAGCCTGCACACAAAAGCTCATACCTTGAATAAACCTCTGTTGGTCTTCAAGATGCTGCTGGACTCTAAATTTGTTATACAAAACAGTTGCAGTATGAATCTTGGAATCCATAGGAATAAACTGTGCAACAGGGAAAGGTCAAAGTTCGTGAGTCACAGAACAAAGGATTCAATTGCCAGTTCCAAATGGGGAGGGACTTGGCTTGACAGCAGCACATGTGAAAGGGATCGAGGTGTCCTGGTTGATCACAAGCTAAACGTGAACCTGAAGTGCGATGTGGCTGTGAAGAAAGCTAATGCAATCTTAGGATGCATTAACACAAGCATTGCGTCCAGATCACGGGAGGTGGTAGTTCCGCTCTGTTCTGCTATGGTCAGAAGGATGTTGACTAGCTCGAGCGTGTCCAGAAGAGGGCAACCAGGATGGGGAGAGGGTTGGAATCCAAAAGTCTTACGAGGAAAGGCTGAAAGAGTTGGGTCTGTTTAGCCTGGGAAAGAGAAGGCTTAGAGGGGACAGGATTGCAGTCTTCAAGCATCTGAAGGGCTGTCATGTAGAAGATGGAGCGGATCTATTCTCTCTTGCTCCGGATTGCAAGACTCGATCTAATGGGTGGGAATTACAAGGGAGTCGTTACCGGCTAAATATCAGGAGAAACTTCCTAACGGTAAGAGTGGTTGAGCAGTGGAACAGTCTGCCTCAGGAGGTGGTGGAGGTTCCTTCGCTGGACGTTCTCAAGCGGAGGCTGGACAGCCCTCTTTCGGGTGTGTTGTAGGGCTCTCTTTCGGCTGTGCTCCTGCAGAGTGCAGGGGGTTGGACTAGATGACCTGCAAGGTCCCTTCCAACTCTAACATTCTATGATTCTATGAAATTCAAAAGTCCACTCTGTACACCAATGGTTTAATGCTTAAGCGTATGTGAATTCCAAGATCTGTATCGCAACTGTTTTGCAAGTTTGTTTTGCAACTGTTTGCAAGCTGATCGTGTATATCATTTGTGAGTCCTATATTTAGTGCTTTGAGCACTTTGGAAGGTTTATGAGGAGGATTTATTCCTTTTATTTTTGCATTCAGTTTATCCGTGTATCTCAATTTTGTGGCTGACCTCCAGGTAGCCAACAACCACACAGAAATGGAAATACCAGCAAATATAGTTGTGGAAAAAAATAACCTAGCTATTTGGAACATACTTGTAGACTTCGTGTCATTTTGAATTTTGCAAGAACTGGGTTGAGCACCATCACTAAAGAAAAGCGGCCTGGTGAAGCCCTAAGAAATGGCAAAGCAACCTCGGCGTGCCGTCGCTGCTCCTTTGGTTTGCGCTACAGCTAGTCTTGAGCCGTCTACTGCGTGTTTTCTATATGAAACTCTTCTCTGCATCGTGAGCTGCTGACCGCATCATTCTGAAGAGAGACTTGTCCTTTCAAGGACTACCTGGTCACTAGTCAACCGGTGCAGATGTCATTGATGCCTGGTGGCAAAACCATTTGTCGTGTGTGTCATTTATGGTTGTAAGTAGAACTGTGCAAGAAGACAGTCGTCTCCAATCAGCAATGTTCCCTCTAAGCTGAGTGAGTGTGAGATAGCTCACAGTTTTTTAGCCTCCGGCTCACAGGTTTTTGTCTCAGCTCAGGAAGGAGGGCTCCAGAGCAAACTCATTTATGCAGGAGCCAAATCACTCGCTCATAGCTTTAATGCCAGCGGCTCACAAAGTAGAATCTTTGCTCACAAGACCCCACAGCTTAGAGGGAACATTGCGAGTCCAGTGTGATTTGTCGTTCTGGCTATTTGTTTATAGACCTCCAGGTAATAGCGATCAGTTAACCTGGAGGGAAAGGGCGGCTTTGGATGCTGGACTCTATGGCATTCCACCCCACATAGTGAAGTCATTGGGTGGAAGGTTTAGGACAGGAGATGAAGGAAATACTTCTGCCTACAACACCCCATGGAGACTTACTTGTGAGTCCCAGTAGACTTCTGGGACTCAGGGTCATAGGATGTAGTGATGGCCACTAATGCTCCCTCTAAGCTGTGGAGTCTTGTGAGCAAAAATTCTACTTTGTGAGCCACTTGACATTAAAGGTGTGAGCGAGTGATTCGGCTACTGCATAAATTAGTTTGCTCTGGAGCCCTCCTTCCTGAGCTAAGACAAAAATGTGTGAGCCGGAGGCTAAAAAACTGTGAGCTAGCTCGCACTAACTCAGCTTAGAGGGAACACTGATGGCCACTCACCTGAAAGGGGATTAGGCAGACTGATGGAAGGCACTGAAGTCCCTCCCCTTCCCAAACCCCACCTTCCTCAGGCTCCACCCCCCAAATATCCAGGAATTTCCAGCCCCAAATCTGGTAACCCTCCCTAGAGAGTCTACCCGCCAAAGCCACCGTTTTCTCCAGGCGAACTGATCTGTGTCGTCTGGAGAGCAACTGTCATACTGGGAGGTCTCCAGGCCCTGCCTGGAGGTTGGCATAGGGTTGCCAGGTCTGGGTTGGGGAAAATACCTGGAGACTTTGGGGGTGGAGCCAAGAGAGGGCGGGGCTTGGGGAGGGGAGGGGCCTCGACATAGAGTCGACCCTTCCAAAGCAGCCATTTCCCCCAGGGTGAACGGATCCCTGTCAGCTGAAGATCAGTTGTAAAAGCGGGAGATCTCCAGGCCACACCTGGAGCCTGCCGACCCCAGGCTGGCATCCCGAGGACCGCAATGCACCCACCTGCAGGGGGCCCTGAGCTTCGTCCGCCGCGCACTCCAGGCGCCTCTTGGCCGTGTCCAGAGCGCGGGTCTCGGTCAACAGCCGCTCCAGCTCGTAGGACAGCTCGGAGCGCCAGAAGTCGATGTCGGACAACCTCTGGCCCAGGTTCTTCCGCGAGCCCTCCTGCGTCTGCCGGGTCAGCTGCTCCTTGTCCTGGATCAGGCGCCCCGAGTCGGCGTTCAGCCGGCCGGCCCAGTGACGGTACGCCTCCGACCCTTGGAACTGGGCCCGGTTGGCGTTGAACCAGTCGAGGGGGCTGTAGCGGGCGTACAGGGAGCTCCGCGTGGAGGGCAAGATGGTGGGGGGGCGCAGCGGGGCACTGAGGCGCCCGCCCCCTTGCCCATCGTCATTGGGGCGGAAGGAAGACACCTTGTAGAACAGGCTGGGTCTCCAGGAGCTCAGGTAGCGGTAGCCAGGGAGGTAATAGGAGCGGTAGCTGTCCTGGCTGATACTCATCGGGGCCACCTCCGGGAGGAAGCAGCTTTTCTTGGGGCCGCAGTAGCTGGCCGTCTGCGTGGTCCCGAGGAACTCCATCCCACCCCGCAGTCCCGTCCCCCGTCTCTGGAGTCGTCGTCGCAGGCCAGTTTTGACAGCCCCAGAAGAGTGAGGGAGGTGTCGCTTTGGGGGGTTTCCTCCCTCACAGCTGCAGCCTTGGCCACTGTGACCCAACGGCGGTGTCACAGGAAACTGGCCCAGGCATCATGACACCCCACACACACACACAGACACACACCAGGGGCCCCAACTGACCCGGCCTGTTTCAGATTTTGAAAAGCCCCCCACAGGTTCAAAATAGACTCCTGTCTGGTGGAATGAGCTCCCAGAGCAGGTTCGGGCCCTGAGGGACCTGGCGCAGTTCTGCAGGGCTTGCAAGACGGAGCTCTTCCGCCAGGCCTTTGCATAGGAGCCGCTGCCGTCACTGTACCACCACCGAGTTGCCATCTTCGACGGTGGATTAGATCTGGAGGTGAGCCAGCCCTAGTTAACCAAAGAATGTATGCTGTCAGGTTAGGTTGATGAATGGAACTCATCTTGGTTTAAGAAAATTTTAACATCAAGAGCACCGCACTTTACTTAATGATTGTTTTATACTGTTAATGATTGTTTTTATGTTGTTTTAACTGTTGTTATGGCAATTGCCTCTGTTGTAGCCGCCCTGAGCCCGCTGGGGAGGGCGGGGTATAAATCTAATAAAATAAATAAATAAATAAATAAATAGATGCGCCCGCTCCATGAGGTGGTGTTTGAGACACCACGCCTGGCGGAGCTTTGGGGTTGAAAGCGCGAGCCGGGAAGTCCCTGGTTCGGATCTTACCTCAGCAGCAGTGCCAATTCAGCAGAAAAAAAAGAGAAATGCCAACAGGGCCGCCCACATGTGTTACTGCTGGGTGAAATCTAGAAGGCGAGAGTCGCTGGAAAAGACAATTGTGTTAGGAAAAGCGGAAGGCTGCAGGGAAGAGAGGAAGACCCAACAGGAGACGGGTTGACGCAGTCAAGGAAGGGCTCTCCTTTGGCAAAACCTAAGGCTGTTAAGAATGGGACATTTTGGAGGTCATTAATTTGTAGGGTCGCCATATGTTGGAAGTGACGGCACTTCGCGCACGCACACACACCAGAAATATGGGTTGGTTACCGTGATTTATTTTTACATAAAACCAATGTTCTTTGGTGAAGTTGGAAGCAGTACCCTTTCTTAGCGTCGGGGTCATTTCCTGCGGGAGCACACAGGAGCGGAGCTCCGGCAGTAAGGAGCTCAGGGGGCGGGCACATGCACCAAGCCCCGCCCCCTGCTCCCAGCAGCCCTCAGTCGGGCGACGAGGAGCAAGAAGCAGCCAGGTAAGTTGCAGAGCTCCCCCCCCCGGCCCGCCCTCAGGTGCAAGCTCTCCCTCCTCTGCGAGGGCAGATCTGCACGTGTCCCCCCCCCCCAATAGCTAGCAATCCAAAAAAGTCCAGTGGAGCCTGCGCAGTGGGTGTTGCCTTCGGGCACACTTCCAGTGATGTCAGGGGGTGTGGCATATGCAAATAAGTTATGCTAATGTTATGCTAATGAGCTCCTGTGCCTCTTTTTCTATGAAATGACCCCTGCTTAGCATATTTGTTTTGACCTGTCCACACTTTGCATCTGTGTACGCCCCGAAGGTCCTTATTTATCAGGGATGTTTCTGATTTTTTGGAAGCTGTTCCTGGTAACTCACTATTCTTCTTTTTTTGCATTTTGGGAGGTCTTTTGAAAAGGTCACCAGTGTGAGCGGCGAGCACCATAGTTCTCTGGAGGTTGGCTCACATTGCAAGGGTCTCAGTAGGGAATAGATGCCGCTTGCTGCTAGTGTACATTGATGTAATGATCATGCATGACCACGTGAACACGCCTGATGCTGAATCAGACCCATTCTGTATGGCTAAATGTGGTGCCTTCCATGGAGATAGATCAAGATGGGTCGCTGTGTTAGTCTGTAGCTGAAGAAAAGAGCAAGAGTCCAGTAGCATCTTAAAGACTAACTGAAGAAGTGAGCCATGACTCACAAAAGCTCCTACCCTGCCACATATTTTGCTAGTTATTAAGGCGCTCCTGGACTCTTGCTCTTTTCTACTGACAAAGACAGACGAACACAGCCACCCATCTTGAATCAGACTTGTACTTCATCAAGGTCAATATTGTCTACTCAGACTGGCAGGAGCTCTCCCGGGTCTCAGGTGGAGGTCTTTCCCATCACCTGCTGCCTGGTCCTTTTAACTGGAGATGCTGCCAGGGATTGAACCTGGGACTTTCTGTGTGCCAAGCAGAGGCTCTGCCACTGAGCCACAGCCCCTCTTGACAGCTCTCCAGGGTCTCAGGCGGAGGTCTTTCCCATCACCTCCTGCCTGGTCCTTTTAACTGGAGATGCCGGGGATTGAACCTGGGACCTTCTGCATGCCAAGCAGAGGCTCTGCCACTGATCCACAGCCCCTCTTTACAGGTCTCCAGGGTCTCAGGCGGAGGTCTTTCCCATCACCCAGTTTGGTGTAGTGGTTAAGTGTGCGGACTCTAATCTGGGAAAACCGGGTTTGATTCCCCACTCCTCCACTTGCACCTGCTGGTGTGACCTTGGGTCAGTCACAAGCTCTGGCACAGCTGTCCTTGAAAAAGAGCAGTTTGTGTCAGAGTTCTCTCAGCCCCACCCACCTCACAGGTTGTCTGTTTTGGGGAGGGGAAGGGAAAGGAGTTTGAAAGCTGCTCTGAGACTCCAAGGGAAGGGTGGAGTATAAATCCAATCTCTTCTTCTTCATCATCACCTCCTGCCTGGTCCTTTTTAACTGGAGATGCTGGGGACTGAACCTGGGACCTTCTGCCTGCCAAGCAGAGGCTCTGCCACTGAGCCACAGCCCCTCTTGACAGCTCTCCAGGGTCTCAGGTGGAGGTCTTTCCCATCTCCTCCTGCCTGGTCCTTTTAACTGGAGATGCCGGGGACTGAACCTGGGACCTTCTGCCTGCCAAGCAGAGGCTCTGCCACTGAGCCACAGCCCCTCTTGACAACAGCTCTC